ACTTTTTTAACTCTCAGCTTCCTTTTTACCTTGATTTTCATTATTTATTTATTTTTCTTTCATATCTTATGAGACTGTTGAATTATCTGGCTTAAGTGCTTCTTAGTTGTTACATTTTATTCAGCTTCACAGCTTCTCTGCACTGAATATAAATTGACAAATATATTGTAGAGCAAAGCAATGCAGAGAAATGGAGTCATCACAGGTCATTTCTCTTCTCTATCAGATAACGTCCACTGGAGTATTGTCTTCCTATTGCTCTCTGCTGCCTTTTTCATCATTTTTGGTAGAAGGGTTTTGTTGGGCATTGCCTAAACTCTCCATTACAATATGGTGCCTGGTGGATGTTCGAGGGGTGTGCCTGTGGCTGCTGTGGTTAAGCTATGTAAGATCAGACCACCGGCAGGGATAGGTCCACTTTGGTTCCAGACACATGGACAGTGCGTGATCCCTATACTTATGATGCCCCTGTGCTTGGCTCACCCATGCCTGCATGACCTTTGCGCTGATTGGCTCCCCTACTGCACAAGTCTTTTGTAAGCTTTATAAGCTTGTACACTTCCTCAATAAAGTAGTTCCTGCTTCGACAGAACTCACGGGTGTGTTAATGACCTGTCGACCTTACCTCTCTCGTTTGCCTTGTTGGGGAGTGTCTATACTGTCTCCTGCTGGTCAGGGGTCAGCCTCGGGCTTGAGACCCCGATAGGGTTTATCTGATACAGGCTTGTCCTTCACAGGAGGAATTACACATCTCTCTATTTGCACTTAATTCTGCCTGAAATGTGACTCATCCCTGAGTCCATTCTTCTCTGTAGGGTCTTTCCAAATACTACCAATATCAACCAAATATACCCTACTACCGCCAGACTGTCTATTCTCTTACTCAAAACAACTACATCATTAGCTCCCTGATCTGTTTCCCAATTTACCTTTGTTGAAGGTTTTCCAGGGCTGGTGTTGTGGCATAGTGGGTAAAACCACTGCCCATGATGCCAGCATTCCTTATCTGCACTTGTTTGAATTTTAGCTGCTCCACTTCTGATCTAGCTCTCTGCTAATGTGCCTGGGAAGGCACTAGAAGATGGCCCAAGTGCTTGAGCCCCTGCACCTACCTGGGAGATCTGGAGGAAGCTCCTGGCTCCTGGCTTCAGTCTGGCCCAACCCTGGTTGTTGTGGCCATTTGAGGAGCGAACCAACAGATGCAAGACCTCCCTCTCTCTCAAATAAATCTTAAAAAGTGAGAACACTTTCCTGCTGAATTCTCAGTTTACAGTTTTTTTCCTGTCCCATCTAATTCCTTCTTCAGTGCTGTACATTTTAGGTTTTATTTGCAGTAGCAACTTAGTCCTGATAGCAGTTTCTGGTGTAACATAACAAAACTTTAATTTCTACTCAAGCTGTGTGCTTGCCTTGTTTGAATTATAGCTATGCTATGCATGAATACTCACCAACTAAGGGTGATGACAGCTGTTTTGTTCTTATAGTTTCAATATATAAAATAAAATATGAAGTCTCCTTTTACTTTGGCTGACACTTCTATTCAAAGTAGATTGGTTGTAATGAGTCACGAAGTTTAATAATAAGGGACCTCAGAGAAGAAATTGGATATTGGTGAACCCTAGTAAACTTCACTTCAGAAGCTGATATTTATTGAGCATATACTTCTGGCAGACTCGAACGGCATCCATTATTTCATTTAATTCTTATCACAGCTGTGTAGCACAACTGTTAATTTCACCAAGGCTTATGTAAATTTAATGTTTACCCATAAGTCACACAGCTAGTTGGTACAGCAACTAGGGTTTGAATCCAGAACCTGGATCACTTTAGATTTGTATATTTGCTTCTTGTGGTGAAAACATTACGCAATAAATATTTGTTGATGAATATTATTTAGTAATTGTTACAGTGTCAGCTTTCTTTTCGTAAAATATTGTTACTTCAGAAGTTATTGACAAAGAATATCAAAGAAATGTGCTATCTATCCTCCCTGAAGTATATCATCTGTCATAAATTTTCTTTAAAAAACTACTAGCTCAAGAGAGCTACATTCAGCAGTTGGTTACTTTTAGTATCTGTATCATCATCTTCATCATTATTGTCATCATTATTATTATCATCATCACAGCAATTTTTGTTTAAAAAAGAAATTTGCCTTCTGTAGCAAGTTGGTAGACTGGAAAAGTAGGTACTGTAAATAACTCATTCTGCTTAATACAAATAATGTATGCTTTTTATGAGTGTCCTTGAAATACTTCCAGTAGTATAGTTTTGCATTAAAATATGATTGACGCAATGGATATTTCATCGATGAAATCATAGTCATTTTGATTAAAAAATAGTTCTAGGAAGAGGACATATTTTATTTATATGAATGTTTTGCTTGAGGCAGGAGAGTGGATTACAAAAATATCTCGGGAAATTTCTCCACCTTAGGGTTGTATATTCCAACTCCTCTGCTTTTGATTGAGCTTCTTGCTAAGGTGCATGCAAAGGAAGTGGAAAATGGCTTACATTCTGGGCTCTGCCACCCATGTGGGAAACCAAGATGGAGTTCCTGGCAGCTCTGGCCTGGTCTAGCCCTAGCTATAGCAGTCATTTGGGAAGTTAATCAGTACATGGAAGATGTCTGTCTGTCTGTCTCTTTTTCTCTCTCCCTCGTCTCTGTATCTGTGCCTTTCAAATCAATAAATCTTTTTTTCATAAAGAAACTTACCTTGCATGCAGGGGAGATGTTATCTGCATGAAAAAAAAATGAGGAACCCAAGGCTGTATCCCCAGAAACATTTATGATCTATGTCAAAGACCTATTGTGCTATATTGTACCAAAGCCTGAAACATATAATCATGAATTAAGATGACATGTGATTTGCTTGTATTTTGAAAAGAGAGTAGAATGACAATAATGTGCCAGGTTCTGTGAAATATAACTGTGGTGTGAAATTTCATATCTATTCAAAGAAAATTGGTAACATTGTGCAATCTACATTTAAAAATGAATACCTTTACTCTGTTTTTTTTTTTTATTTTTCATTTTTAAACAAATCTGTTTGAAAGGCTAACTCCCCAAATGCCTGCATCTGCTGGGGCTGGGCCGGTATGCAGCAAGGAGCCTGGTACTCCAACTGGGTGTCACAGGATTGGCAGGGATTCAAGTACTTGAGCCATCACCTGCTGCCTACCAGGGTACAAAGTAGCAGGAAGTTGGAATTGAGAGAAGGCTTGGGATGTGAACCCAGGTTCTTCAACATGGGACAGAACATTGCAAATGGGTTGTTCCAACCACTGTGCCAAACACCCACCCCTTTTTTGTATTATATGAGCAATCTCTGCATATCATACCTCCTAAGCTCTTAACATAAATTGGGAAACATGTCTGAAGGATGAGGAAATTCAGTTCAAAGAAAGTAGAGGGAAGTTTCTGTGAAAATTAATCTCATGTCAGAAGAGTCCTTGGTGAGAAAAATGGGACATCACTACTGCTATGACCTTTCCAGGTGAATAATATAAAGAAGATTCATAATTTTAGAATTA